AAATTCAACCACAAATAACGTGTCCCAAAACCAAAAATTGCAACTCCTTGTTACCCCCCTCCTCTTTGGAAGTTGAAGTTTTTAAAATGCCGAGATAGATGTTTCACAAATTAAATGAGAGAGCATTAAAGACCAAGTTTCAAGTAAATCTGACCACAAATAATATCAATATGTCCCATTTAAACATTGCAACTCCTTTCATCTTCCCCCCCTTCATAGAGGTTGAATTTTTGAACCAAATTTTAAGCAAATCTGACCAAAAACAAAACTGTTCCATGTAATCTTTGCAAATTCCTTTCAGCATCCTGCAGAGGTTGAATTTTTTAAAATGTTGAAATAGTTATATCACAAATTTAATATGAAAATTAAGTTAAAAGTAAATCTGACTATAAATAAAATATCTAAATATTTTATGCCAATGAGCATAAATATCAAGTTTCATGTAAATATGAGTAAAAACAAAAACGTTTATAACATAAAGGGTTTTTCATATAAAAATACTATCAAAATTTTCGGATTTTCCCGTGTATATTCCAAAAATTTTCCTTCACATAAACCTTTTCCTGTAAATTACAAATACAACAAAAAATAAATCAACCAAATCGGTTAAGACAGCTAGGAACAGTTTGAATTTCGTTTTTACATTTGTCTGAGTGATTTTTCAAATTTTCCTCTTTATATGAACCTTCCTTGGACTTCAAGGAATATCTTAAAAAAAAATATCGAAATTGGTCCAACCGTTCCCGAGTTTTGCGCTTAGCAATATATTTAGTGATCCATTTTTATGTATATAGATTACTTAATATATTTTGCATGGTATATTACACCTATAACAGCAGTATTTGGTACTTGGTTTCAAATTCGGCATAGTATATGATTGGTCGAAACTTATGTTACCCAATACTGGACACATTTAGGTGAAACGTTAATGTACTAAACTTTGGTACATGAAGATTGGCCAAAAATTAGTCCAGTATTGACAAACCCGTACTTGGCTGCCTAGATTGCGAAAAAACTTTGGCGAAATGCGAATCTACCGAACCTTGGCACTTGAAAATTGATCAAACAATTGTCCAATATTAAAAACCCAGTGCTTGGTTTTTCATTACCGGTTTAGGTTAGGGCCAGTCGTCAACTCCGGGTTTCCTTGAAAAAAGCCTTTTTCTTTGAATTATTCAACAGATTAACAGCTTATTTAATTTACGTTCTCTTATCGTTGTTGTACGACTTTTGACGCCTTTTTATTATTTGCTAGACAATTTTGCTGACACATCAACACCATCTCATATTTACAGTTGCCGGGTAATTATAACACTATCTATCCTGCCATTTGTCTGAATTAATTATCTATTTTACAACCGTATTATCAGCAAACACAAATATTACAATCTGTTTTTGCTGAGACAAATACGTGGTATATATACAGTAATACCAGTAGATGACAGTATAATAAAGAGATTCAGTAATAATATAGACATTTAATAAAAAACTAATTCAGTAACTTATCGTTTTAGTTTAAATATTCATAATTCAATAAAAAATGGTACTAAATTTTTAAAGATTAACTGTGCTAAAAGGGGACATTTATTTGAGTTGTTGTTGTGATAATGTAAATGATAAGCCATTGTTAAAATTCTAGTTTGTTTTTAATCTACACTTATATTAGAATGTTTTTCTTGCATAGTTGGAAAGTACACAATTTTTTAGATAAATAATTAAAATAAGATAGGAAATGCTACATCAATTTTTTTTGTAAAATACTGGCATTTCGAAATTCTTATTTCATTTTTATAAAAAAAACATTTATGCAAAGAGAAAACATTCCATAGTTTTTGCCATCATTATCATCATAAGGTCGTCAGTCCTAAGACTGGTTGGACAT